GCCCTCTTCCGCCGCTTCCGTGTGTATTCCTTGTCAGTGTACACTTTAAAAATTCACCCACAAATTCATTAATCGCTACTTGTGCCTATAATTGGGTTGGAAGCAACGGAGACCCGGCTGTTTGTCCCGCTTTCTATCCATCTGCTGTTGGATTATGATCTCTCTCTGTGCCCTTCTCACTTCTGACACTCACCTCTGCCCGCGCCTGCTCCATTCTACCACTTCGTTTCTGGTGGATTAGCAGCAGTTAAGACAGCGGCGTTTACCCTTTTTAACTTGCAGAAGAAGAAGGATCTTGTAGACCGCCTAGGTGTTGTTTGCAGGCCTCATAATACACTGTTGGCGTTTGATGTGCTTTCCGATTCAAAGTTCCTGTTTCTCCGTCACAGATACAGCGCAAAAGGTGTGTACGTTATAATAGTTGTCCACCGGGTTCACGTATAAACGAAACCTCGACCGGGAGGCTCACAAAAAACCCCTTCCATTGTCAGCACGCATTCTCGGATTTTTCATAGGCTGTGGATGATCATATGGCTAGATCCATCATACAGGCGCATTCAACAGTTTTGTAACCCGCAGATACCTGTGAGCGTTTCGGTCTTGAATCCTGCGTCTGATCCGAAGGTTGACAATAGGTGGATTATGGAGAGTTTGCCTTTCTTGGGCGATTGACTGCTAGTTTCGTCAAGATGTGCATTTCAAAATGGGGTTTGGTGCCTCAGGTAGGTCAGTTGCGTACAGGATACGACCCAGGACAAGCCACTTTCAATCTTTTGGTTTCTTATGCCCTCTTTAGCGTTTCACTCGTTTTCTTTTAATAGGATTTAGACGTGGGGGAGAGGGTTGGGTAGTTAAGTAGGTGTACAAGGCTTTCAGGGTGAGGGCTGCGCTATGTAAACTGTGTTGAAATCAGTGTAGCAACTACAATCAGGTGCCATTTGTATGCTCCGACCGGACGTCCGCAAGCTGCGTGACCCGCCAAAGTTATTAAGTTTGCTTGGCTTCCGGAGGTAAGTTACTTCTGATTGCGATGCGCACGACTGCTCTAACTGCTAATTCTTCAAAGTACAGTTGGCTGCGGCGTGACTAGCGGCCACTTCAACAAGCGTAGCTGCCGATATTACGAGTGTTATGTGCATCTTAACATCTTGTCTATAATACTGCTATGCATGAGATCCGATGGCCGCCACTCAACCGCCCATTTTGACAGGGTTACTTTCGGGCTCCATGACTGTGTTGAAGTACCTACAAGGCGTTCTTGGTTCACGTGTGTTAAATTTTGTTTTAGGCACTCGGGTGGTGAGGTGAAGCCTAGGATAATCCGCCCGTTCTGTTGGGCTGAGAAGTGGAGATTTGTAATGCAAGGTGCTAGATTGTACGCCGAGATGTTCGAACGGATTTTAATTAGCTCTAACCATGTGCTGAAGGCAGGACATATTCGAGTTGGTAAATGCGAGAGAATGATCTAGCCGGATAGCGTCCGGAGTCAGGTAGTAGAACGGAGCTGAATGTGAAGACCTCGGTTCCGTGACTGCTGCAGTCAGGGTTTATTCCGCGCGGTTCCCCGTGCCTAAAACTTCTGACTACTGCGTGGCATCCTCGTCGTTAATCCGGCCTGAGACGGCATAGGTTGGCTGT